GAACTTACTTTAAAAGATGCAGAAATTCTGTCTAACAATATCATATACGAAATGTTCTTTAATTCATCTCATTAAACCTGAAGCCACCATTTTCTCATAATCGGGACCGTGAAAATTTATCGGTATTCTTAAAACAATAAATATAGTAGGTGTTTACTAAAAATAATAATAAAATTTTTATATTTTAACTTCTGGCGTTTTCACAAGAATATGTAGACTAAACATGCAGCGAAGTAAAAATACATAATGAGTATGCCAGTTTTAAGAATCATATTTTTTACAAAGAATTTACATTAAGGGGATTTACGGTATTGGCTATAATATTAATTTTCGTACTTATCTAAATGCATTTTAATTTTGAATTAGGCACTTTGAAATTCAATCCAAGAAATTCGTGAAAGTATTTGTGGATGCAATTAATCATACGAATTCCGAAAGAATATTTTTTTCTTATGTGGTATTAAATAACCGTATAAACGTTGGTGTGATTCAGTTGAAGACAGTTTCAGATGGTTTTAATGATTTACTGTTATTTAAAGCAAGTATTAAGGATTACATATTTATTTAATTAGTTTAAGTTTAAAAGAGCCATTTATTTCATGCCCAATTACATGCAGATTAATAACAATCGTTCGATAACAATGATATTGATAAGAAGAAATAGCAAAAAAACAGACAATAAACAATCAATATAATACTAATAACTTTATGTTAACTAGTATGGAAAAACTATACATTTCGAAAGAGTTAAAGTTTGGTGATATGAACAAGTCGATTTTAATTTATACATCGTTTCTATAATTCTATTGGTGGAGGGTAGATTATTTGTTCACGCACCGTTATCACCGGTACCCACTAGCGTTGTTGAACCGGCCGTCCTGCACCCCTGCATTCCCTCTAGCTTTGTCGTCGCGCAGACCGGTACCGCTCGCCCGGTCGACCTTCGTGTATGTGCGATCTTTGCCTCACACTCTTGGCCTTTCGCCTTCGCCCTTTGTTGTGTTCGGTGCCAAAGACGCGTTTTAGTTTCCGTTGTTGTCCATTGATGTTGTCCGGTCGTTTGTCGATTAAAGTTTCAACGCGAACGCCCGCATCTCATATAATCCCCGTGTTTTACGTCGACACCACTCGTGTTTAGGCCAACGAGCCACTTATTGTGCCATGCACAAGTTGCGGCTCCGTCGTCCAAGCCCCAGTTAACGGGAGCTTAATCAAGTTCGTTTATATTCGCTACGTTTGTTCATGTACACCCGCGTGATCAAGTTTCCGATTACACTGTATTGCGCGCAAAAAGTGAGATACTTTGGTCAATTCTGAACCAGCTTATTTCAATTTTGTATATTTAAATATAATAACGTGAGGGCCTTGCCGAACGTCCCAGTTAAATCAATTGTTTAACGGTATTTATAAGTGTGGTTGTCTAGCCCATAATACCCAAACATCCTAATATATTTTTCTCTTCTCCAACAATGTAGTAGTTGATGTTTACCACCCATTAGTAGGAGCATCTCGGCAAAACATAATTGCTTGTATACAGTAGTTGCTTGTATGGGTTACTTCAGTGTAATTCATTATTGAATTATTAGTTTAATGAACCATTAAAATCAGCACAATTTCGACGAATATAACCAAGGATGTTGTTTGATCTATTAGGAATGTTGTTGACATTACATTCGATATAAAGTTTAGGAATAACAAAAAATACCAAGGTCCATAATAGTTNTTGGTCGATTCTGAACCAGCTTATTTCAATTTTGTATATTTAAATATAAATAGTAGGAGCATCTCGGCTAAACATTATTGCTTGTATACAGTAGTTGCTTGTATGGGTTACTTCAGTGTAATTCATTATTGAATTATTAGTTTAATGAACCATTAAAATCAGCACAATTTCGACGAATATAACCAAGGATGTTGTTTGATCTATTAGGAATGTTGTTGACATTACATTCGATATAAAGTTTAGGAATAACAAAAAATACCAAGGTCCATAATAGTTCTCATAGTTCGAAGAAGCATTTCATTGTACACATTTTAATTATATGTTCAGAATAGAGTTTGGTGATAATTTTCGTATTATTTGCTGTAAAAATTAAAATTAAAATAAAGGACAAATAAAATGAAGATTTTACAACTCCCTTTGATTTTAAAATTGAAATCTTAATTTAAAAAAAAAAAAAAAAAACACCAATTAGCGGCAGTCACGGATTCAGCTGCATAGATTGGTCGATTTTCCTCCTTGTGTTTCTGATTATAATATTGAGGCATTCTTTGAAAAGCAATCAATACCAATCAACACACTAATAAAACATTATTATAATAGAAAGAGAGACCATCCCTTTACTTCTTTTAAATTATACTATAATGAGTACTGATATACACATGAAATATTACATCCCTTATACTCGATAGTTATTTATTGGGTATAGCTTAAATTTGTAAAGAAAAATTTATTTTAACGTTGTTTTGTTTAAAAACTTTTCTGTTTACGATATTTATTTTTTAAAACTGTTAGTAACACTGTTTACCTAATAATTTTACTATCTGCACATTTTTTATTGATGTCCGGAACTTGCATACATTTTAGAAATAATCAATTTTTATTTCGAACCAGGTAGCTAACCTATAAATAAATTAAGAACATCAGACAAATTCGATTGCCAAATTATAAACTACAAGAATATAATCGGAATCGGAAAATACCAATATATTTTACTTGATGTTCACTATCAAATGTAAACAAAAATCGTTATTGTGTTATAAATAATTAAAAAATCCCTAATGTATTCGTAATATTAATATTAAAAACTATGTACAGCATGTGCCCCGGGCATATTGAAGTCAGATAATATTTACATCAAAATTATTTCTTACCCGTAGATAATTTCGAAATACATCTATGAAGTTTACCTTAATATGATTTAATAAGATTTAACTATGTTATAGTTGATTCCCACGAACGAAACCACAAATGTTTCAGCGGTAGCTCTCAAATTACCAACGAACGATATTGTGAAGGAGTTCAATTGTTTCGTTGTGACCCGTTGTTCGGTGAGTGAAACATGATATAGAATAGAATACAATGGCTAAAGGGTTATTTTTTATTTCTTAAATGAAATAAAAATTGTTTTAATGTGATCCCTATCAATCATAATTATGTTATGTACATTGATGTGTTTTTCAGGATGGCGTCGTGCGTGGTTTGTCATATAAACTGACAGGACAGGNATTTGAATTGGACTTCGAGGTAATATTCTTAACTATGTCATTTTTAAAAATCGTTATCCTTTTACAGTCTGTTTCTTAAAGCACCATTTTGTAATTACCATCCCGTGCACCACTCTCGAATACTGTATCCGTCTTTTAAATTAAACAGTAAATAAAAAATTTTTCGATATTCATCTCTTCCCTACATTATATGTGAATAGTCGTTCCGTGAATTAAATAGGTCGTGCGCCCGAAGTAAACAAGAGACAGAGCTTATCCTGTAATGTAATAACACATTTTAATCCTGGAATTTTTTTTTTTTTTTTAACGAAATATATTATTATAATTTAATACGATATTTTGGTTTTTTTATGGTTTTCAATGTTTTTCGTATAAGGTAATGTGTCCGACTTAATGTAACGTGTATTTCATTTCTTTAATGAAATATGCGGAATAAGATTTAATGTCAACATTGATAATAAATTAATAAGCTAATTGTTTGCTGGCATCAATGATATTGATATGTATATTACAATTAGTGTACCTATAATTCAAATCTATATTTGTTTTGATATGAACTAATATAATGATATTGTTATTATTTAGTTATTGAAACCAGGGTCTATCGTTGTATGTGATAACCAGCTGTTTACCATCAAAACCAATGATACTTCGTTCTGCCCTCTTTTCTACACGCAAAAAATTATAGAAAAACGTATACAGGATATAGAAAATCAATAGTCGATCAGCAATAATAAATGATAAAGTATATTATTATTACTTATGCGGAAGTTACTGTTTAAAAGTAAGATTTATTTATTTGTTTTTTTTCTTTTTCGAATATGATATTTGTTTCAGGACTACTAAAATTGACGGACTTAAAGACATACTCGTGCATTATTTCACAAAATTCATTCTCCAGAGAATAATACTATAATTATTTTGAACATGTTAATTTCAAGTTCAATTATTCGTTGTTTTATTATTGAGTTATAACTTTTAATTATTATTGTAGACATAAGATAAAATCATTTAATTTTCCATATTGTAATTTTGTTGTTTACGTAATATAATATAGCGATTAATTTTATGGTAGACTTATACATACTATTCTATTATGTTACCCTCTATCCCCGGGACCGTGAATTCAATAATTTCTTTAGTATAATGGATAAACTTCTCCAAAATCTCTCCCACGAAAAACATATAAAATTTGGTGAGTATTTTCGAAGTTCAAATTCGTCAAGTTTCTAATTAATAGAACAATGTGATTTTCTGTCTCTGCTTCTTATACTCTCCACAGTAAATATACTGTTAGACTGCGACAATTTTCCGAAATGGATGATCTTTCCTATTCCAAATCTATTTAAAGAAAAATATTGAACATTTGCATTAAAATAACTGTATTTTAGTGACGAAGCTCTAATATTCACGGGTATGTTTTCAATATAGTATTCTGTCAAAATGTTTAACCTACACACTGTTGTCCTGATTGCAACGAAATACGATAAACGCGTATACATATTGAAATAACACATACTACATGCTAATTCACTAGAAAATTACTCGTTTTTCTCTACTTTATTATGTAGGGAATTATAACGTTTTATATTATTTGATATTTTTAAATAAAAACCAAAAAATTTTAGTATGTTACAATTTTAGAGTTGATTATAAAAGCGGAATTTTTTTTCCGCTTGAGTATATTATGTTGGTTATAATTTATATATCAATTCCGATTAAATTAGAACTATAAACGTGTAAATTCTTTGTGTGCATATTGAGCAAAAAATCAAAACCTTTCACGTGTATGTTGTCAATTCTTTACATTTCAAAAAGGTAAAAGTATTAGTTTAGTTTTGGACATTTGAAAAATATTGCATATATCAGCAGGCCAAGATTAGGGGAGATATGAGAGGGGTCCCAAAAAAACCATATTACTATTTTAATTAAATATTTGAGAAACTTTTTTATCTTGCCTATTTATTTTTTATATGGTCCCCAGTCCTCCACAGCTCATTATCCGGGTCTCATTACCGATATGGTACAAAAGTCTATTGAAATGATTTGAGTATCTTTTAGAACATTGCTTCTAATATAATTTAATAATTTTATTACATTTTTAAAGCAATGTTAAAATTAACATTTTAAATTGGTGGTTTTTGAAATATTGATCATTGAAAATTTTAATAAAATAATTTTTCGACACTTCCATAATGAGTTGTATATTTAAAGAAATTATTAAATACGATGCAACAGCTATTCTGTAAACTGTCTATCAATTTTAGCCACATTTAAGCAATCGACACCGAATAAAACGGTGTATTTAGAAATACATTTCACTATTTTCCAATAAACTACAACAATCTTCCAATGGTTTATATACTTTCCTTGCCTTCTAATAATCTTCAATAGTATAGTTATATATTGTCACTTTCAATCTTGTTATGCCATGCTCTCTTTTAATGTACAAAATGTAATGTAAGGTAAGTTAAGCATGGGTTTGATTGGAAAAAAAACACCGACTACTTATTGCCTAATCTTACACGACCAAATTTTTTTTTTTTCCGATCAAAACTATGTTAACTTAACTAACAGAACCGATACTAAATTAACCTTAAATTACATTTTATACATTAAAAACTAAACCTATAACATAAGAATGTGTATTTTTATTTTCTATACCTATGGTCTCTAATAGAATGAACTAGAATGGTTATAATATTATTTAATGCGCATGCGTATATTGCTCCGAATATATTCCAACTGTTATCGAAGATGCCCGATGGTTGTGCAGCTCATTTTATCTTTAAAATATGTAAGGGAAATCATTTCTTACTGTAGTTTAGTCGTGGACGGTAGTCGAAACAATCGACGTGAAATCTACAAAAATCTGCAGTTTAGGTAATCGAATAAAACCAACGAACGAGCAGTTTACAGAAATTGCTGGATACAAATACTATTTCTCCTATAACAGATCTGTTTTGCAATTATAAAATGCTTATTTAAATGAATGATCTTGTAAATTGCAAAATACCATACACTATACTAGTAAAGAAAGAAATATGCGAATCATTTAATAGCTATTTACGAGGTAAATTTTCTAAATTCGTTTTTAGCCGACGCGGAGTAAAAGCAAAATTACCATATCGTTTGGATACTACGAACAAAATGGGCCACCGAATTGTATAAGTTATTAAAAAGGAAGATTCGGAAATTTTAAATAAAAAATATAAAAATCCTGTAGCTATTCCGTANTTAAAATGTATAACAAATTTGTGTGCCAAATTACCAGTCCTGGAGTCAACAAACAGATCGGAAACCATATTATTGACTTTATCATCTGTCCAGATGCAAGTCTAGAGGAGACATTTTCTTCTAATCCAGCGAGAGAGTATGGCATAACAAGAGGTGAGATAAAGGTGAGACCAAAAGTGTATACTTCTTAAAAGGCTCTTTTAAAAATGTTTTTATAAATATTCACATCTGAGAAAAACTTAAAGAAGAAGGATACGTTCTAATTCCGTTTAACGAAATAGTAATAATAGTCTTCTCGACGGAAGAAACTTTTTATAACATTTAATACTAATGGAGTTACTACATTTAATGTAATTCGCTGGCAAAGGTGGAAAATGTTTAATTTTTTTTAGAAGTATTACGAGATATGTATGATTTACCTTTTAACCCGTCAGTGGTCGCGATAATTTGTGTAACATCGTTGGGCGCATGTGAGCGTGGCGCTCTTTACACCTGTTTTGCCAATTTTGAATGTAATTTTTGTTAGTATGAATAAATTAAATATCATAAATTCAAGTTTGTGGTTGTCGATAAACAGTGTCGGCGTTGGGATAAATACCGGACAAATCGGAATTAGTCATAATTGGAATAAAACAAATACGTCACAGAAACAAATTTCGTTACATATTGCATTCTATTCATATAGATTTAAATTATAAGATAAAAATTAAGATGGGTAGAATTAAAACTACTCCTAGTAAGAATAAAGAAAGACGAGTTTTTTGTGTGTAATAATGTGTAATATATGTATAAATAATTTATATTGTTAAAAATAATAAATAAATATTTACCTAAATAAATGTTGTCTTTTTATTTAAACAAAAAAACCCTTTCATTAAGGATATATAAATGTAGCAAAATACTTAAAAGTAGTTGAAACTGGGTAGCTGAAAGTATAGCAAGGTTACTTTTTCACCCATGTGATAAGATAAATATTGTATAACTTGTGATAACAGCAGATATAACCGTGATAACAGCGTGGTAATAATTTCGAAAGTGGGCGTGACCTAAATGGTCTATAAAGTGGCTGGCAGTTCGGGCGGCCAGGTATTAGGTATAGCACTTCGTCTTTGCTTCTGTTTCTGCTCCTGATCCTGGGGTAGAACCGGCTATTTTGTACTATTCAATATCAAGATATTATTTTGATAACGATTATAAAATAGTTTTGATGAATGACCCTTTAATGTATTGAATTTTTTTAATAGATCACATTTATAATCGTCGACCATATTTTCACATATCAGTTCCATACTTAAAAAATGTTACCACCTATCTTTTCACTTGTTCTATAAGACTAGTAAATGATTATACCTAAGCATAATTTTGATCACTTATAATTTCGTTCATAAAACGGGCTCAAATTTATCCGTCTTCATTTGCAATTTTGCAATTTTTTTCCCAAACCAAACTGAACATACATTGAATATTGCGCAAGTTAATTTTGAATGTCGTTTATTTATAACGTTAGTTTACATGTGTATTCTATATTTTCAAACTTTGTAAATGGACGGAAACTAATAATGTCACCACTCTTATTATTGACGAAATCCCAATCTCTTGCCAGACAAAATATGTGAAAATAACATATAATTGGTGAACGTGTATTAATGCCGATTCAAACTGATTAACATCTTGGTAAATCAATAAATCCCTCTCTACGCTCGAAATAAGAAAAGAAATAAATAGTGTTTTAAAACTAATAGCTCTGTCACTACGCTCAGAATCTAACAATACCAATACATGCGTTAATATTATGAATAATATTAAGTTACATATTCTATAAACATACTGTTCTTCGTCTGATTCATCGTCTGAA